CAACTCCACAGTAAGGCTAAAATTCATTTTACTAGTCTCCAATAACTGCATCCACATGGAGGGAAGTATGCAGTAGGATACCCCAAGACTCTGTTTTAGGCCCAGTATTCCTCAATATCTTCAATAGATGGGGAACTCATCAAATTTGCAGATGACACCAAGCTGGCAGGAGTAGCCAACACTCCAGAAGACACAAAAGGATATTGACAGACTTGAACATTGGGCACTATCTAACAAAATGAAATTCAATGGTGAAAAAAAGTAAGGCCCTACATTTAGGCAAGAAAAACCAAATGAATAGGTACAGTATAGGAGGTACCTGGCTCAGTAGTAGTAACTGTGAGAAGGATCTTGGAGTCCTAGTAGACAATTACTTAAATATGAGCCAGCAGTGTGCTGCAGCTGCCAAAAAAGCCAACCCAGTCCTAGGCTACAATAACTCTGTTATTTTGTAAACTGAATTTCACTGGTCCCATTGTGTTGAAGCTCCTTCTCATACTCAAGTGAATCAGGGAGCCTGAGACACATTTGAATGTTATCTTGTTATTCTGGACTTAAAAGATGCTCAGTCCCTTTTGTCTAGGTGGTGGTTCCTAGATGTCTCTATCAAGGCCATCTTCCTTACTGTCTATCCTATCTTCAGTAAAAGAGTAAAGCTGCTTTCATAATCCAGAAAAAGGAATATTTAACTTAATAATAATAATAATAATAATAATAATAATAATAATAATAATAATAATAATAATAATAATAATAATAATAATAATAATAATAATAATAATAATAATAATAATAATAAAGTTGGAAGGGACCTTGGAGGTCATCTAGTCCAACCCCCTGCTCAGGCAGGAGACCCTATCCCATTTCGGACAAATGGCTGTCCAGCCTCTTCTTAAAAACTTCCAGTGTTGGAGCATTCACCGCTTCTGGAGGCAGGTTGTTCCACTGGTTAATTGTTCTAACTGTCAGGAAGTTTCTCCTTAGTTCTAAGTTGCTTCTCTCCTTGATCAGTTTCCACCCGTTGCTTCTCATCCTGCCTTCAGGTGCCTTGGAGAATAGTTTGACTCCCTCTTCTTTGGGGCAGCCCCTGAGATATTGGAACTGTAGGGGCTTTTCAGTAATATGGTGTAACTTGCAGATTTTAACATCCGAGATGCCTAATAGCAATAGCACGTAGACTTATATACTGCTTAACAGTACTTTACAGCCCTCTCTGTTTATAGAGTCAGTGTATTGCCCCTAGCAGTCTGGGTCCACAATTGACTGACCTCCGAAGGATGGAAAGCTGAGTCAACCTTGAACCTGTGAGATTTGAACTGCCAAACTGCTGGCAGTTTGGCAGTCATCAGAAGTAGCCTGCAGTACCACATTCTAACCACTGCGCCACCACAGCTTATTAGGAAGAGAGTCCCTTAGAGCAGAAGTCCCCAACCTTTTGGGCACCAGGGACCGGTTCCGTGGAGAGAGGTTTTTCCATGGACTGGAGAATGCGTGGTTTTGTGTGCTGCCTGCATCCCATGGATGGAGCTTTGCTTGTTTGTGTGGACTGGTTGCTGGCATACTGCGGCCGGGTACCGGTCCATGGACTGGGGTTTGGGGACCCCTGCCTTAGACCATCAGGCTTCAAGGCATTTAGAAATTTCAAGATGAATATCAATGCTTTAAGTCTGGTCTTTGAAACTTATCTCTTGTGGACCATATGGAGAGGGTATGCATCAGAAGCTTAATCCTGATACAGTCAGAGCATGGGCTCCCTGTTAGCAATGGATTCTGGGCCCTGTTGAAAAAAACCACCACATTCTGAGGCATTTCCAGAAAGTCCATAGGATTGGGACAACCTCACCTCAGGGGAGATGCTGCCCAGTGGTAGGACGCATGGTAGAAAAGCCTCTCCTTCCTGCATCCCATCAAACAGAACTCTTTAACAGATAGGAACCCTAACATGCCTCTCCTGCTGAATCTGATGGGATGGGTAGATGTAAATGGGAGGAGGCATTCATTCAGATAACATGACCCTATGCCATATAGGGCTTTATAGATCAAAATCAGCACCTTCAATTAGGTCCAGAAGCAAACTGGAAACCAGTGCAACTCACATAGTTGAGGGTGATATGTCCTTCCACGTAACTGCTCATGCCACCTCATTTTGCACTAGCTGAAGCTTCTGGATTCTTTTCAAGGGGAACCTCAAGTAGAGCATGTTATAGTAGTTCATTTGGGAGGTGACCAGGGTGTGAGTAACTGTGAGCAGAGCCTTGTATTTCAAGAATGCAGGCTTCTTAGGTCCCGATAGGTGACTGTGTGGAAGGGAAGACACCAATTTTCTTCCGAGTAAATCACAGCTCCGCACTGCAAATGCCTGAAGGCTTAATGTATACTAAACATCAAGGCTACTCTGAAACAAGGGCAGGTGTGAGGGTTGGAGAAGAAGGAGAATAGAGTGGCAGATGCCAGAACATGGAGAAGAACCTGTGGAGGAACTTTTGGCTGGAATTGCCCTTATCAGGGCAAA